TCAAAATTTCCTTCTCTAATGGCACACTAAGATTTTCCAGGCTCCCCTTGTCCTCAGTCTATTGCTCCAGTTCTTCTGAAGACAAGGCTATGTCAAACTGTGGTGGTAAAAAGACCATGTATTTGAAAACTTTGAAACACGGCTTTTACAATTTTTCTTAAGATCTGTATGCAGAGATTCACCATCAAGGCAAAACACCAATAGCAGCTGGAGAGTATCCCATCTCAAGTTTTTTTTAAAAATCAACTTTACCGATATATAATTTACATACTATAAAATGAACTCATTTAAGTGTACAGCTCAATGAGCTTTGACAAGTGTAACCACAACCATCATCAAGACAGAGGCCATTTCTGTTGCCCCCCCTAGGCTCCCTGTGTCCCTCTGCATCACTACCCTGCAAACCTGCTTCCTGTCACTTTAAACTAGTTGTGGCTTTCCAGACTATCATATAAATGAAATCCTACCAAAGTATACAAGTCTCTTATGTCTGGCTTCTTTTTCTTGAGATATTTCTGAGATTCATCCACATTGCTATGTGTGTCAGTAGTTCACTCCTTTTTGTTGCTGAGTAATATTCTATTGTATGGTTATACAACAATTTGTTTATCTGTGATATGTGTCCAGTTTGGAGCTATTATGAATATTATGAAAAAAACTGCTCTGAACATTATTGTACAAGGCTTTGTGTGAATATATGTTTTCATTTATCTTGGGTAAATACCTAGAAGTAAAATTACTAAGTCATATGGTAAATATATGTTTAACTTCCTAAGAAACTGCAAAATTGTTCTCCATTGTTATCATTTCATAATCACACCACCAGTGTATGAGAGTTGTTGCTCCACACCCTTGCCTAGACTTGGTATTGTTCGGACTCTTTAACACATCAATTTTACAGATTTTCTTTTAAATGGGTACCCTCAAGATTCTTCCCCACCCCTCCATAAATCATTTGGGCACCCACAAAGGAGGAAGGCACTTGGTCTCAACACCACACAAACTTCAGAAGGCTGCTCACGCACAGTTGGGAAGGCAACTGAAGGGCACATTTTGAAAACAAAGAATAATAGTAATAATAAAATTGAGAGTTACAAATACATTTGAAAGGAAAGGAAGTTGCTATATTGTTCCAAATAAGAAAAACGATGACATTATAAATATGTAAATGATTCATAATTTAAGGGAATAAATATGTATGAGCCTTTCTATTAATCGGGAATTTATTTTGGTATACAGGCTTGTTATGGCCTGAACTGTGTCCTCCCAAAATTTGTATGTTCAAGTCTCAACCCCCAGTACCTCAAAATGTCACTGTATTTGGAGATAAGGTCTTTAAAGGGTGGTTAAGTTAAACAGAGGCCATTTGGGTGGGGTTCTAATCTCATCTGCCTAGTGTCCCTGCATGAAGAGGAAGAGATGCCAGGGGTGGTCATGTAAAGAGGCTGCAAGGTGGTGGCCATCTGCGAGCCAAGGAAACGGGCCTCAGAAGAACCTGTCCTAGCTGGCGCCTCGAACTTCCAGCCTCTAGAAATGAGAGAAAATAAATTTGTTGTTTAAGCCACTCAGTCAGTGGTATTTTATTTTTGCAGCCTTGGCACACTGATATATAAAGTTCTACTGATTGTAATATTTGTTGCTGGATCCACCTGGGCCTGAAGATGGAAGCTACGTCTGGTCCACTGAGAAGACCCAGTGCTGCCATTTCCCAGCAGTATGACTTTGGAAAGCTAAATTGTACCCAGTAATAATTATACTTCAGTTTTTTGGGGGGGATGAAAGCATATAAGTGAATCATCCAGCACCTGGCACATGGCAGGTGATCAAAAAACATTAGGTCATTTCTATTTCCCCCTAGACCATATATTATTTATAATAACCCTTGTATTTATGCTGCATCTTAACTGTAGTCATACAATCTATTTTTCATATTTTTTCTAATTAATAGGCAAGGCAGAGGTTAGTATTTCTAATTCATATACTAAAAGACTGAGGACAAGTACAGTGAGTTGTTGGCGGTCACACATTAACAGAGTCAGGAGGCAGGCCTGATTTTTCCTAGGCTGCCTGTGGCTTCCGTTTGTAACCTCATTGCCACCTGGTGAAATGTGCCAGGCTACCTGTCCTACACCAAACGGCCTCTGCTATTGTGCCTTTAGAATTGTTCTTTAATGATTTCCCTGTCTCCCTCTGTTGGGTCGGACAGCCAACTGCCCATCTGTAGCAGTCCTGCCGCTCCGTGGTAATTTGTTGTTTCGTAGTGGCTCTGGCCTTGGAAATCAGATCCCACATGGTACAAATGTTTGTGAAACAGTATCAGTAGGCTTTGAGGCGGGTGGGATTCCAGGAGCTCTGTTCTTCCAAATGCCCTATTGATTTTTAACTACTCAGAGGCCTTCAGGGCTCCCTTTTTGGGTGTGGGAAGCCAGCTGCTCATTGTGTAGCACCCTGACCCCCTGCCCACTCCCAGCACAATCTCACTAACAGCTGTGGCATATCAGTGCTTACTGAACAAATGGTCTAGTAGGTTGAGAATTACCAGGTTTGAGGATGTCCCCAATTGTGACACCAAAAATTCTCTGCAAAGTCACCTGGGTCACCAGTCTCTAGGCCCAGTGGACAATTTTCAATGGCTATGGGATTGCGGAAGAAAGAAACCAAGAACAGCTCCAAGGTCTCTAGCCTGAGAAGTTGGAATGACAGAGTTACTATTAGCTGGGTAGGAGCAGAT